GTTTTTACATATACTAACTCATAATATACGCATGGTGATATATATTAAAATGTAACCTTACCTGAGTATTTCAAATAGGTGAGTTACTCTTCTTGAGATGAGTTCACAGAATAAACGTCCACAGAGCAAGTGAATGTAAATTAAGAGAGGTAACGTTTTATAAGTGAAAGTAATTAAACATTTTGAATAGTCACAATAAAAAACAATTTTTACTTTGGTGTAAAAAGAATTAGTCAATGATAAAATATAAATGACTACCTAGTTATTATAACTAGCAAAATATATTTTCTGAGTCGTTCGAGAACGACTTCGTCCTAGGTCCTAGCGTTCGGAACATTCACTTAAAAATTGAACTCTTTCACGTTCGCGTTCAATGCATAAAAAAAAAGTAATCGTTCACATTAATATTCATTTTTTTTAAAAAAAAAGGTTAGGTTCAAGTTCTATGATAAAATAAATGCGCTCGTTTCACCGTTCACTTAAATTCAGGGCTTCCGATAACCGATTTTTCCCAGTTACCAGTTACCATGACTACTTTTTGGACGGGTATCCGCTTACCGGTTCTCGTGTTTCAATATAGAGATGTGGTTATCAAATACCGATAATCGTTTAATTTTGTAAAGGTGGAAATCTATAATGGTAACCGTTTAACTGTTTATTTTTAGAACCGGTTAATTAACCAATACCGTAAATCTCAAAACCAATAAACGTTAAAAAAATTTTTTTTATTCTAAAATAGGTTATTAAATTATTTTAGAATCGTGAAGTAAATATAAAAATGTAAAAACACTAAAACAAAAATAATAATCCATGTTTGAACCCTTAATTTGATCGGCGCACAAACAATGTGAGTAGGTTCTCAGTATACAGATTGTTCCAATAGCTGATACATATGATATGTAATATTATACATTTATAACTCATGTACGATATACTACCAGATATACAGATAGGTTATTAAATATACCAAAATTAAAAAAATTATGGTTCAAAAAAGTAAATAAATTATAAATTATTGAATCAAGCCAATCAATTGGTTAGTAAATTTTAATTTTAATTTTATATCTTACCAGAAAAAATAAAACAAATATCTGTGGATTTAAAACCATCTTATCTTTATAATGTAAAAGTAGTAATTATTAGTAGGCAAAGTGTACTCGTATAATTAAATATTATTAAATTATTTAGGATTGAACTGTTGTAGAATACCGTAGAACGTACATTCTCTGGGCTCAAGTTTATATATAGTGACCTAAGATCATCATTATCATATGATTTGCTCAATGAAATCATGAATATAAGAGCAAATAAGATGGGTATGGAATTGAATATGTTTTTTTTTACGTTTAATATGTATTTAATATTTTTATAAGTATACATTTAACAATAATACACTATGGAGTACACAGATTAATTTTTTTTTTAAATTATTTTAAGTTTTTCAACTTTGATTAGGGTAGAATGTTTTGTATTAAAATTGTTTTCATTTTTATCAAGCTATTATCATTTATTTTATATTCTTAAGTTTTTTTGTATTTTAAAGAAAAAAAAGATATAAGTATAGTACTAATGTAGTTATGTAGTATTTTCTTTTGTTTTATGCCTCTTTTTACCTACAGTTTCACCAAAACAACATGCATAAATAGTTTGTTAGGAGTACTTAAGATTTAAGTTAAATAAAAAAAAAATCAACTGTTGAAAAAAAAATGAAAACCCGGTTTAAAAGTGGTTACCGATTAGTTTGGTGATTTAAAACCGCTTCCAAACAGATAACCGGTAATCCCATTTGTTATAATTATTTTGGTAACCGGGAATCGATTACCGCTACTTCTAAAAACCACGAAGACCGGCAACTGGTTCCGAAAAAAATTTCCCAGTTCTCTAGATCCGGTAACCCATTTTTCCGGAAGCGGTTTCAAGCCCTGCTTAAATTTTTTTATCTTATATTTATGAATCACCTACCTGCATTCTGTAAAAATGGGACCTTTAAAAAATGTATTAAGTGTGTTTTACTTTTAGCTTAAAACTTATTCTTAAGCATATTATACGACTTGACATGTAGAAAAAAAAATATGAGATTTAAGAACATTTAGAAGATATGAAGTATCAAAATTATACATTATCTGACACGTTATTTGGTTTAAAAAATTAAAGTTTGTAAATAAAAATTTTCTAAACAGTTTGATATTTTTTAGCGATAAAATTAAACGCATACTAGACACACAACTGAAGGAAGGAACCGAATTTTATGAAAGTTAACTGTTTTATGAGATATGAGAATAAAATAAAATAGTGCCATTTTACCACTATACCATATTACGGCAATGTATTAGGCAATTAAAATTCATAATTCAGGTCGAAGGAAATGTTAAACAAACTAAAATAAACGTATATTCATTTTGCAATAGAAAATTGGTTATCATAACATTTTAGTGTATAAAAAGATAAATGTAAAACATTTTTGTTATACTATATTCAAATTAACTTGTAAGCACTAATATATATAATTAGGTTATGCTAAATGTGTATAAAACAGAAGACTAATCAATAAAGTAAGTCTTCTTTAGTTATCGGGCAATACGATCACCATAGGAAACATATACATTTTATTAAGTATTAACTTAATTTGAGTTGTGTATATGTGTTTGTACAGGCCCGTCGCAAGAGTACAAGCAAGTGATGCATTGCTTTAGGGCAGCATACAATTTTAAAGAAATTCAAGTAGCAAAATTTAATATACATCGACTACATACTATACAGTTATTGCTGTTTTTGTACTATTATCTAAGCTCCACTAGCTTAATGTAACTGTAAATTATTTCAGCATATTATAATTCTGTTCTGTAATATTTGTAATAAAGAGCGACCGTACAATTTTCGCTTTAAGGTGGAAAATATCTTACGACGGGCCTGTGTCTGTACGTACGATTTCATCGGCGTGCAACATTGTAAATAATTTAATTTTCACTCGAAGCTATCGTCTGTTAATAAAAGTACCTATTGAATTGTATACAATAATTTGAAGTTGTATTATTTTAAGATTAAGTGTACAACAACCCCGAAATAATTATTTTGAAAACAAAATTTTCGTAAACCGTTAATTTTATCCATAAAAAGTTTTACCCTATCAATAAGATAGGTATTATAGGAATTTTTCAGCTTTTAAAATTTCTAATATCTATATATTATATGGTTTTTGTAACATTTAGTTATGGCTTAAATCATGTTTTAATTAAGTTTTTTTTCTATTTTAGTGCTCTACTGAATGGTTTCATTTTTCTTGTTCAGGAATTATTCCAAATCTCCTAAAGGAAATTTGGTTCTATCCACAATGTAGAGATACGAAGAATAAGTTAAAAAAATAAACAATACAAAAAATACCAAATGTTTTTTAAGTTATATATAATTATATCTCACTAAACGAGTCAATAAGTACTTCTGATTATTTTTATTCAGATACCCTGAACTAACATAAATAGGTTTTATTTAATGAATTAAAAAGAGTATATTAATGTTTTATATGTATGAAGTGTTTATAGGATACCTATCCCATCGCTTTTTAAAATATGTAAAGGACATAAGAACACACAACTTATCCAACTGTTTTTACAATCCAGTCGTTTCTCGTAAAGAATTGTGCAAGTTATTGAAATCTTAAATTATACAATTATAACAAGGGCATTCTTGATTGTTTAATAACCACGATTAATTACAGGCGACACATGAAAAAGCTTACATAGCACATTATCTCTTAACCATTTCACAAATTATAACAATCATGCAATTTTAAAGGAAACATTTGTTTTTATATTTTAAATTTATTTTGGACTAGTCAATGAGCAAATAACACCAATGTATCAAATCCTGTTGTAATATATATATATTCAAGAATGGACAAATCGGAGGGATATTTTGTAAAAAAACAATCATAAAATATACAATAGAAAAAAATTATGTACAATGAATAATAATTGTATTTCTCATTATCTTACATACACACAATGTACTTACATAAAACAATTTAAATGAATTATTGATAACAAGCAAAAACTTTTAAAAGAAAAAATCTGGTTTTTCAAAAACTGTAAATATTTCTTATTTTAAGTTATAAATCAATAATATAATTACAGTAATTCGGAATGTTATATTTACAAAAAAAAAAAAAAAAATAAAAAACATAAGTCAAGCTAAAAATTTAAATAACTTGACTAATATTTGTATGTCATATTGAATGGTATTGCGTGGTATTGGTAAGAGCGTGTAGACATTTTGTTATAAAAAAAATGTTTTCCAATGTAATAAACTTAAATGCAATAATCAATATATTTTTATAGGAGATTTGTTAATTGATTAAACAATATTTTAACTTAATAGCTATAAATTTCATAGAAATTATTATCTAACAGTATAATTTGAAAATAAAAATAAATACAATTACACACTAATCTTTTCTTTTTTATTTAATATAGAATAATTATAACAAAATAAAATTTTTATTAACTAATAAGTAAATTATTTTAAATTCCAAATGTTCAATATAATGTTATTATAGTTACTATGACAATATTTTCATTAACAGTGTTGTAGACAAAATTGATGTTCATAAAAATGTATTGTACATTATGTAAAAAATATGAATATATATATATATATATATATATTATTATTATTATATATTATATTTTATATTATTTAAATTTTATATTTTCATTTTTTATATTATAATTTTAATAAATTAATATATAAATATCATTGTTTGTATTAAATACTACCATTTATACTACTATTACTAGATAATACCATTTACATAACTAGTCACACAAAATAATTTGAAAATTAAATCTCCAGATTCAATAGAGCTAAATACATAAGTAAATACTACACATATTAATTAAATTTAAACAGATATTTTATTATCTTAGGTGGAAAATAAAATGTTGAGAAATTTAATAAAATACAAGATAAAATCTTTTTATAATTTCAATGATCTGAACATTTATACTGATAAATTGCTAAATTAAGTGAGTCTATAATACAACTTGAATTAACTTTTACCTATACAATTAAAGCAACTTAGTGAAAAGTTGTTAAACAGTAGAATTAATATTTAATTAGACTTAAAACTAAAATCTATTTATAGAAGGAATTAAAAGTAAAATGTCATTACTGGTAATTTATTAATTACATAATAATTTTGTCTTTGTATAAATAATTGTTAATGGATTTTGTCCATTATAGTAAATTGTTCAGTGTTTGACGTACATCTTTTAATATTTCTTTAATTTTTTTAAAAGTACCAGTAGCATTTGGTAAATTTTCATGTTCAACCAAATCGACCATTCCTTTTGCAAAATTTTCATGAGTTGGACGGTTAGAATATGTGGAAACATGTTTAAGAACTGGAGTGCCTAATAGTTCAGATTTTACATCACCAAATTTCCTTTTCACACTTGAATTTAGAGAAATAGATTCGTTTTCAGAATTGAGAGAATTGGATAAACTTATTTGAGTATCGTTTACATAGTCTTTAGTGTCAACACCGCTTTCAAATGTGTCTGAATTACTTTGATCATCATTAATTTTTTCTGACGCTGTTCCATTAGATGGAGACTATAAAACATATTAAACCATGCAATATTAGTAAAGTTAATAACAATTAAATTATTTTTATTTATGTTTATAATACTAACATACATTTGAAACTAAGTAATAGTATAAAATTTAAGAAATAAACAAACGATGTGATAAAATAAAAATTAGAAATACCTATACAAAATAAATTATTAATAAGCAGACACGTTATTAAAATTCAGTGGCAGCTTTTGGTAGTTTGATATTGTAGTATAGTAAAACATTTTTTGTAAAGGGCAGAAAGCCCACATTTCTACCTATCTTGGATGAATATTAAACCTATAATTGACGACACCTGTAAAACTGATTTTGACGCCACTGAGGGACTGATTAACAATAATACTTAGACTACTCATAAAATTATATATTTATTAACAAGATTTATCAAAATATCGCTCATAAATAATAATAATAAAAATAATATGAAATGTGATTAGTATCACAAATATGGATATCAAGTACTTCATAGTTATTGCTGTTGGTCATAATTTCTTTAGTTATTATTAGATGAAAATATCGAACTCACTGCATTAACTGTTTATAATAGCGCTAATTGCCATTGAAAATGTGGGATGAGAAAATAACCGTTGCAATTTACTATGACTAACGAGTAACATATTAATGTTTCAAGCATTGGTCGCTCAGTCTTATTTAATTCTCAGATTATTTTTATTGTATAGGAATCATTGCCGGATTAAAGTGATATTTTCTTCAAATATCATAATTTTTCAATAAAATTCAGAATCACTTAAATTATTTTGAAAGAAATATAGAACATCATGATTCCTATTTAGATACTATTACTGGTATAATAGCAAATGTTTATTTTAAAATGTAATTGCACTATCGCACAAGCCGCTACTGTTAAAATTATAAATAAGTTTAAGATTGTAATAGTTATTCTTACTTCTACACAATTGTCTTCTAAACTGATATCTTCATCAGTGATTTCTCCATCTTCAGGCGAAGAGGGCATATGATCAGTTGATTTTTTGCTCTCAATACTTTTAGATTGAAAACTTTCTTCTCCAGGCAAAGTTTCTAAATAATTTCAATAGTTAATAAAATCACAAAATATATATTTATAAAAATAATGGTATACTAGAGCAGTATTTCCCAACTGGTGTTCCGCAGAACCTAAGGATTCCGTGAGCTCGCGCAAAAGGTTCCATGAGAAATTTAAGAAAATATAAATTAATTAGCAATATTTTGATTTGGATTATGATTTGAACATAGAACTCTATATAAAACTAGAGTTAACACATTTCCCGATATGAGGTGCATAGTTTGTAGCTTTTCGGCGTATACAAAGACAAAGAATAAGTTTCGAAATCAATTGAACGCGGCTTCGAACTTACGAATCTCACTTTCATGAATAACTCCAGATTTAAAAACAATTATGAAAAAACTATGAAAATATTCCAATCTTCTCATTGAATCTATTTTAGAGGTAATGGGAGACAAATATTAAATTTTAAGCTTTAATATTACATTTATAATATTGTAATAGTAATAAACAAAATAAAATGTTAAAACCGTCTTTTTTTTTATAATAATGACACTCTTGTGCCGGAAGTGTCCGATAACCCACTCATTTAAGTGTACCAAACATTTGTCTGTATAAAAATTATAGAAAAAATATTGGGGTTCCACAAAACGTTCAAGCTCTTGCAAAGGTTCTGCGGGTAAAATAAGTTGAGAAACACTGTACTAGAGTATGTTTTAGTCTTTAATTGCATATATTTATATATTTATTTATTTATAGTATATTTATTATAATAATAATTGAATTCATTAATATATATATATTTGCATCAAAATAATAGTATATAAATTATTATTAATAAGTCTTTTCATTTGAGATGTTATTATTATTTAATAATTAAAAATTAAAACACTTAGATTAAAGATTATCAATATTAGGTAATATTCAGAAAGTATTCACATAAGTAGGTTATTAATATATAATGAAAATTATTACCATTAGATAAAAAGCCTGTATCTTCATTATAACTATCTCCATGTAATTCTGTTTTAGTATCAGTTATATTTTTTTGCAAATTTTCATACATATGATTAAGACTTTGTTCCGGATTGAATTCAGGACATTCATACTTTTTACATTCCTAAAAAACAAAATAATATAAACACAATTAATTAAACATCATAAACTATAACTGCAATTTATACTGTGTATAAATACAATAATAATACAAATAAAAATATTATATAACAGTCGTAAATAAAATAATATATATAGAATTTTAGATACTCAACATAAAACAAATTAATCATACATTTTTTATTGAATGAAATCTTATTTGACAATACTTACATCAATAGAGTTAGCAGGAGGAGGTGCATTGAAACCCGGGTATTCATGTAATTTCCTCTTATTAATATTACAAAAGACAGCATCAGTTGCATCCTTCTTTTTTCCTGGAAACGGTAAACCTATATGAAATCATAACATAGTATTATAAATTAAAATACAATTATTGAATTTATAATCATGTATAAAAAACGTTTATAGTTAAATACTAGTAAAAATATTAATATTTTGGGGAAATAATTAACAGCTTAACAACTCATTTATTCATAGTTTAAAAATGTTAAATTTAATAACCAAAAATTCTTTATTATTTGTTTAATTTAACTAACATTTTAAAACAATTATTAATACCTTAATAGGATTAAATTATATATATATATATATATATATATACATATTTTATGTATGTATAAATGTATTATATTTTCATAATTATTATTTATTACATTTATATATTGATGATTCTTAGATAAAACAATTTTCACATATTTTAACAAATTTATTAATTTATTCATAAGTTAATGAAATATTATTTTATTTAATATATTTATTTAGGAGTAATCATTTAATTAAAATAAATATGCAAATATTTTCATCAATTATCATTATTAATACAGAAACTATAAATTAATCTATGGAATATACTTAAAATATTACATTTATTAGGTGCTGTAAATATTGAAATTCCGGAATATTCATCTCTGGCTTCTTCAAGCCATGCTCGAGGATAACCATATTTTCTCATCCTATAAACGTGTACTGGAATTCCATTTTCAGGTAGACCCAATGCTTTTAACAACTCAGCACTAATTTTACCAGGTGTAAGATTATTGTATGGGGATTTATTACCCGCTACAAAGTAACGAACATTTTTTCGACCGCTAAATCAAAAATTAAAAAAAAAAAAAAATATATTAAAAAGTGAAAATATGATAAACATAAACATACCATAAGAATTTTTTTTGGTATTAATATGAATAAAAGCAAAAATACATATGTTTATATATACCTAACTTAACCTAACCAAACAATATTACGGATTATATCAAGTTATTAGAATCATTTATAATGTACTAAATATATGTCTTATTATATATTCAATAATATGTTATTTACAACATGGAATATCTGACATTAAAATACATGGTTACTTAAATGAAAATAATTACCGCTAAACTGTACTTGCGTGTACATTATTAAGACTGTTTGGTTTTAATTTTTATAAGTAAATAAGATACTAGAAATCATTCTTAGAAAGAAATTAAATAATACAAAATAATATATAATTAAATACAATTTTTGTTTATTTAAGGATCTTATGTTACTTAAACAAAATTAAATTTGGATGAAAAATAGATATCAATATTTTCTATTTTAAAGAAGCAATATCAACACAGGCCAAAATATTTGAATAATGCCTTTTAAATTATACCAAAAAGAGGAAAGGTGTCTCATTAAAAATTACTACTAATAAAAATAATTTTATAACTTTTCACAATATAAAATTAAGTGATAACTTTATGTCTTGGCATCTTAAGTGACTACCATAGTAACTTTGCTTTCATTCAATACCAGTTTATACATTTGATTTTTTAGATAAAACATAAAATAGCAAATATGCACTTTTTTTATAAAAAATAAAATAAAATTACTTAAATTATTTTAATCAAAATAATTACCGATTTTTGAAACCTTTTTCATGAAAATTATTTGGTTGAGAATGTTTCTGCATTAAGAACATATGACGATTTATATTAATTAATGGCTGATTTCTAGGTTCAGGACAGTTGTGCAGAGAATGATTTGGCATACCACAATTCCAACAGGAATTTTGCTTTGACCCCGTGTCTATTCTCTGGTTTTTTTCATAACTATTTTTTTGAGACTAAAAGAATACAGTTTTGTAAATATTAAAAAAATATACATACAAACAATTTATAGTAAAAATGAAATTATAAAATAAATACTAATAGGTACAATGTAAGTATTCATTAAAATGTTATTATTATTTACAATTATATATAGCTAGGTATAGGAAGATTATTGAATCTTTTACTATGTTGTCTTTAAATCTTAAAAATGATTTTAATCATAGTTAATTAAAATAAATAATAATTACATTTTAAAATTAAATTTTAAAGAAATTTAAATATTATGTTCAATTTAAAATACATTATTATTAATTAATAATTTTCATAATAAGATAATACTGTTAAAATATCAAAAATCTTAAAATAAGTAATATTTGAAATATTTAAAAAATTAAATTATTATACTTAAATTATAATATAAATATATAAATTATACTTAAATTATTAAATAATTAGTTATAAATTCAATTGTAACAGTTGTCAGAATTGTATTACCTCGTATTGTATTGCATGACGCATTTTAAAACTATCAGTTTTGTCTACAACAAACAATGGTTCATCTTCCTTGTCATTTACATCTTTAATCGATGTTGAATTATCATCAATTTCCAGATCATACTGCTCTGAGCCATCATGTAGTTCTAGATCTTGCATAGAGTTATCTGTAAATGGCTTATCGAGCTCCGGACATGACCCAAATGCCATATCCTGATTGCTTTCATTCATGATGACCGTGAACCAAATTTCCACTAAAACAAAGATGGTAAGTACACATATGGTAATACAAATGGCAATCAAATAGCATTTAAATGCATAATGCGATACTTGACATGAACACCAATGAGTGTGGGTAATCGGACATTGATGAGAAAAGGAGATAAATGTATTACTATTGTAAAATACAAATTATTCCAGACTAAGGCAGTGTATTCTCCTAACGATGAACATCAATGGCGAAAGGAAAGAACTTGACGCAAGTAATTCAGACATTGACATTATAGTGGGGGGAAAATAACTAATGTATAACATTGCCATCAAACGATGTTCGTGATGCTCTTAAACGAGCGACCGACGACGTGCATATTCTGACCAGGATCACTCCACAGTTGAGATTCCCTAAACATCTGAGCGAGAGAGAAGTCTGGAGAAGTCCTGGAAGACAGTTCTGAGGATTCCGCACCGATTTCACTTGTTACGCTCGCGTGCGCTGTTGCTACGTCGGAAATCCGTCCCCCCACGAGCGAAACGACGGCGTCGTCGGCCAACTACCCATGTGTTACGAGTCGCAGCGCCATAGACCCTAGTCAACCGCGGGCTACAAACGTACGTCCGGGGGAGCGCGCGCTGTGTCAAACTCACCATCAGAGACGACAGACCTGGAAGGCGTCACGACACGTGTGACCTACCTATCGGATTTTGCGAACACCCTCGTCGTTCGAACGGAAAAATATAAAAACATAACAAAACGCAGTGTTATCCGTGTTGCTGATAAATCAACGGCGGCTATCATTCGACGCGCATCGCGCGCTCACGCGTAGCGGCCTGGCGGGACGACAAAGCGCGGAAACACGAATATTACTAACGATCGGTTTTTTTGATGGTGGCGCGCGCTAGAGGAGCAGAAAAATCGGAGAACGCGTTTTGTGTACGGCATACATTTACATATACGTTAGGTACTTACGGTTCGGTCGGTTGTTGTGAACGGCAGAATTCGCCGACGATTTCGAATTATCGGTTCGACACTGCGTTGACGACGTGTCGCTGCGACGGTGAACGCGATATTCTTATCGGTTTCGTAACGCGTGTTATCAATACGCACTGATGGCCGGTTGATTAGCCCCGATCTCGATTTATGCTTCCGAAACAATACCGTACCGGTATCGAGATCGTACGTTCGCGAGTGAATCGCTTTTCAGCGTTTGTATCTCGAAAGTCACTGTGTTCGATCCTCCCTTAAACCAAACAATCGTTTCGCACGGTCAGTCATAGTACGTTAATTGGTCGTCGCTTCCGCAAACAAAACGACAATGACTGCGTCCCTTCAGTTGGACTCTAACACCGTAAGAGGTAATTTATCAAAACGATGGACCACCCGAACATTTTTATGCAAAGCCTGCTCTTAATCGTTTCTAATGATCTGTTTTGTCTGTTTAATGTTATAGTAATTTTGGCTGAAATACTAGAATCTCTTACAACATGTGAAAACGCATTGAATTTAGAAGATGCCAAGAATAAGGCTGGAAATGATATGTTAAAAGTAATGCAATATGTTTACCCAATTGTTGTCAATATTCAAATGGATGTTATTAAAAGATATGGAATGCCTGAAGGACGAGAAGGTAAATAATAAAAATGATAAATTCTGTTTTATGCGAGACTGTGTTTAGAAAACTATAACATTGTGTACATTAATAAAGTAAAAATTAAAAAAGTATTAACTCTTTAAATCAATTCAATTTCATTTATCCAGAAAATCAGCAATGTTTTAAAACTAGTCATATTTTAAACATTATTTAAATACTTAATATTTAAACATATTAACTTCACAATTTTTTCTTAGTTAAGTTGTTATTAAACAATAGAATGATTTTTATTATAAAAAAAAAAAAATGTTTAATGACTAATCATTAAAGTAAAATTCTATAAATAAATGTACACAATGTATTCTTATAACATTTTTAAATTAAATATCTTCATTCTTTTAAATATCAAATTAAAAATAATAATCTATGCTTTTTTAGGAATAATTAAATTTACTAGAAGTGTGGTTGCATTTGAAAAAGATGATAGAGTCGTAGCTGATTTACACCGTCAGATACGATCATTTTATTTGCCACCAGTCAATGTTTCAAGTGCAGTTACCTCACATGTTTAATAATAATTATTTATTATTTAACGATTAACTCAAATTAACCATAACTTAGAGTAAAGAAATGGAGGTATCTAATATGATTTGTTTGTTTTCCATTTTCTTTTTTTTTTTTTTTCTTATTAATGTATCATAATTTATATGACTAATATTATGATATTTTAAAGTAACATAAACCATTATTTATGTGTTTGTACTTTTTATAATTTAAGTTAAAGAATTTTATAAATATTTTTATTTTTATACTGTTCATTAATATAAATGAATAATAAAAAAAATTCATTTTTTACACTTTTTAATTTAATTTATATAATAGTAAAAATGATACTAATAAGGTACTGAATATAATTTATACTTACATGTATATATATACGTTAACATTCACAACGATTATCGGTAAGTGTTGACATTCACAATTGAGTTTTGTTTAATTTTAGAAAATTTTAGTTAAATTTGGAATATAGACGTTCAACAATTGGTGTATGGTGTATTGTGTCATATGTAAAGATTGTGAATATTTATAGATATGATATCGTTCGCACAATATCTGAAGAACAAATTATGTTTGAGTAAAAACATATAATAATTTTATAATATATTATTTAATTGAACAAATTTTAATGGCCCATATAATATTATCTGATAGTATCAAAGGTACTTGATGCAATTGTAAAGCAAAGTGTGTATTGAAGAAGTGTAGTTGTAGATTCTTAGGACTTTTATGTAAATCTAAATGTTATAATAGCTTATCTTTTTGTAACAAATAATTTAAAATTTAAAATAAAATAATTTATGGTTAATTAAGTTGTAATAATTATTTCATCATTATTCCTCTTTTTTAACAAAATTCAAACATTTACCTAAAACATATAGTGCATGTTTGTTGGTGTCACACCAGTGAATGTCTACATCTAAGAAGAAATTGACATTCATCAGAAATTTCGGTGAATGTCAATATTCACCAAATGTCATCATTCATCTTAACTTAAACACAAATATAAAATATTTTTCTTTAGAATTCAATCAACTTCTTATAAATTGTTCTATAAAATTATAACTTAATTTATAAAAAAATAAATCCAGACATTATTCATAAATTTATTTATTTTATAATAAATTGCTTTTTTAAAAATTTACAGATTATTATATAATTAACAATAACATTTCATATGTTCCTACAAGAAAAATAAATAAAATAAAATAAAATAAAATAAAATAATTATACTATGTCATGTTAAACAATTCATAACAAATAGTATAAGTTGAAAAGGCAATAAGATTCATTTCAAAGAGAAAAAGTTTCTTTGAAATATTTACTTGAGAAAAATTAATTTAAAATTTAATTTAACTATTAGTTCATCCAAATATATGTTGTGTCAGATTTAGAAGGTAAATAGTTATTGAATAAGAATTGTTTCTCGCTTAATCATTAGGTCTGGTGTACTAAGTTTCATATACTTGTTCATGGAGTATAAATTATCTAGATGTTAACTTACTATAACTGAGACAATTGTATAGTCTGTATATAAATACATGTAGTGTATGTATAACTTAATCTATATTTTAAATATATCCCACAGTGACAACCTTGGTTGACTAGTTTAAAATTTTACAATTTTATTTACATAAAGTATATACTATAAATATACAAGAACATTCTATAAACACCAAGTATACAGCAGTTACAAATAAAGGTCATAATGATCAACCTATGACATAACCATTATAACCTAATTATCTTTTTTGATTGACCCACGTTATGAAGAGATCAACATTGATGGAAACACATTTTATTGTATATATATATATATATATATATATATATATAAATTAAATGAATATTATCAATAATTACAGAAAAGAATAAAAATAAAAAATTAATACACCCGAAAAAAAAGAATGGTACCTATCGAGCAAGTCATGTAAACATTAAAAATATAAAAGTTAGTTATAAAATAAGTTTTATTTATTTAACAAAATTAATATTGAAATATTTAGAAAATTGTATGCATAGAATCGATTTATTTCATTGTTATTTTAAATCTTTACAAAAGTAATTTTTAATTGAGTAAAAATGTATAGAAAAAAAAAAGGTTTTGTTGATTTGATTTATTTTTATCATCTGAGATAAAATAATATACATTTATTTGTTAGTATTTTTTCTACGTAAGTTTATATTTTATAAAACTTATGTTAGAGAAAATCAATATGTTCATATTTCTCTAAGTTTTATTTTTCATTAAGCAATTTTGGTAAATAAATATCTCGTTCTACTAACTAACGTTCTACTTACCAACTATTCGTCAATGGTACTGTAAACAATCACACATTCATTGGCAAATATAACATAAAAAACAATTTCAACAAATTTAATTTGAATTCTATAAAAACAAACATCCATAAGTAGGTGTGTACGCTTGGATTTTTTTTTAAATAACTGTGAACAATTATAAATAATAATAATAAACGTAACCGTTTTACCTAACAACCAAAGTATTATAATACAAAACTTACTAACCAGTATAGTTGTTTGTAAAGTGTTATTTCAAAATCTGTTTATTGTTATTCGACCAAAAAATATTTTCAGTTATATTATTTATGCATACTGCAGTGAATTTATTTAATTTTTCGATGTATAATAATATTTTATAATGACAAATATAATTTGGAATAGACTATTTACCTACCTAACCGCATAAACCTAGTTAAAATAAGTTGATAAAATGTTTTAGAAGTCAACTAATTGCTAAGAAAAAAAATATTCAATTCAAAATACTCAAAACCAAAAATTACAAAATTAATTGAAAAAACCAAATTATTGATGACATTTGCTATTAATATATTTTTTTCAATTAAAAATGCCATTATAATACACATCTTGGTAGTAATAAAATGTTCAAAATATTAAGGTCATAGTGGTTTTATTAAAGAAAATACGAATCATTGATCTGCGTCTTATTCTCAACATATAATAAAAATCTAAATAGTGATTATGAAATGTACGGTTTCTAAATAAAACATAATTTTGAAAAAATCTTTAGTTTGAAATAAATAGAATTTCTTCATCCGTTTTGAAAGTCATCAATTACAGACATGGGAACAATTATTATACGATAGGTACTACCTACCTACCTATCATTGTTGAGTGCCGTGCGCGAGAGTAATTACGAAAGTTTTAGCTTTCATGGTCGAAACTTCGAGACTCAACCAAAAACATAAAACTCAAACAAAAAAAAAATATGAACGTTTATTTTTTTGAACAAATAAATTTTTGCGTTTCTTATACTTGATTATGATTTTTCAAATCGAAAACTCTCGTAAATGTTTTTTACATGCATATAAAATAATACCCCCTGATCCAGATAAGAACTTGGATTTATACATTTCATTTATATTGATATTATAAATATTTAATGATTTTTTATTATAAACTATTTATATATTTATTAATTCTTTGATACTAATTAATAATTTATTATGATTCGTAACTATAATTATTGAAGTATTGTATAGCCGGTGCAGATTTACAGAACCTACAGTTCAAGAACTTTGTGGATCAGGCTATTTCAAGAGGCCACTTATTAGGACTGAAACGGGATTATAAATGTATACCTTTTAACAAAAAAAACACAATATGATCGTATAATATATATTTTTAAGTTAATTCATAATTATCATTGAAAACATTAACATTTATTTTATGGAAGATTCTGTCTTACATAGGATCCGGCATAGAGATATTTCACTGTACTATACAATCTAACCAATGGCGTTATTTGGAAGATGACCACTCAGACTTTTCCTCCAGTCTAATATAAACTTCAACATAGGTATAGTCGGCACACTTAAAAAATATAAGAAATCTTCAAGAGGCCAATTTCTTCAACAAATATTAACTGTGAATCAGCTGACTTTCTAAATCTCCTATTATATCCGCCCCTGGTTACGAATCTCATAGTGACTGCATAAAATAATTATTGTACAAACACATATTAGACCGATGCGAATCGAGACTTTGGGTAACAACAATATAAAAACAATCGCTTCTTGATTCCTTTATAAAAAAAAATACTAACTGGTATTATTCACATGCCATTACTTTCATTATTTTACAAGTTATGTTAAAGATATATGTATCTACAAAACTATAAATGAGTGTTTTTTACGTTTAAATTTGATATATTTTGAAGCATTATGTAAATAATTAATAAATCGATGTAATCATAAGTTATAAAAAAATTTTTCTTCTGGATGTATAAAGGACTTTACATATTTTTTATTACTTTATTTTTTTTTTATCAAAAACCACTGATTTTAGATTCAACCGTACTCTGAGAACATAAGCGTGCGCACGGTGGGGTGGGCCTGCGGACTCTGGCTTTTTCTTTAATAATGTATATCTATAATATACAAGTAATTTTTAATCTCATAGTATAGAATTGATATCTGTAAATAAATCTAATAAAATTATTAGTTATTAATCAGACTAATCAGAATTTACATATAATATAAAAATTGAAAATGTAATTGATACATTTAAAAACCTTACTCCCATGGTATAATAGTATAATTATATGTAAATAAAGATTTCTTAGATATAAATTGTGTAAGTTTAAATAGTATTTATTTTTATATTTGCATATTGAATTAAATAAATAATTTAAAAAATGTATAATGTTTAATTATACTAGTAGTCTTTAGTACAACTTTGGTTCACTTTTTTTTAAGGGGCCCTCTCTGCGCACAAAGTCTGCGCACGCCTATGTCTGAGAATTAGAGTGTAAACCAACATTAATTTTTAAACTCGATATAGATTATTCTAAATATTTGATACATTGCTCGAAGTTAAATGTTTAAAATTATTTAAATTTTTAATATTATTTTAAAAATTATTGAAAAACTAGAAAAATCGGAATCCCTCTCCTGCTTTAGACATATGTATATTCTGAATAATATGTTTATTATATAAATATTTCTTACATATTTTTTTGAGAATTATTATTTATAAATATACATAATATATATGCGCATCTATGCATATACACAAGTAACAGTACTCGCTGGTCATTGGCGGATATCCTGAGGGATCTTGGGGGTTAATCGCCCCTA